ACAATGTGCTTCAGCTGAGAAGAGAGTGTTCATTTCTTTTTGGAGGAATTGTACCACCATGCTTGATACAGGCTGTGTTCCTAGCCTGCGGGCACCACTGTAATACTGATAAGGCTTTAGAACAGCAGCCTGAACATAAGCATAGCAATGGTACAGGCGCATCCCATTACTGTGTTTTAATAACAGAGATATTGTGGGGCTTATTGTGTTATCCAGTAAAATCGAATAATGACTGAAAGTGGTAAGTTAACCTGTCTGTATCCAGCAGCTGTTGGCAAAGAAATAATTTGATCACCTTTGTATTTAGCATTCTATCCCAACTTTTTGTCATTCTTTTTACACAAATTCAGTCTGTCTTCATAAAAATAAACAATCTTTCCAGAATATATGATTCACTATTTGCTCCCGGTGTGGGAGTTTATCTCATTCTTAAATAGATTTTGAAGAACAATCAATGCAGTCAGTGTGGCAAAACTTGTTTTGCTCTCATCATACAGCATAGATTGATGTAATGGAGAAGCATTCGTATGTTCTCACCGGAGTAGTTTCAAATGCTTGCTGGGGATGTGTGTGTGTTCATAGAATAGTACTGGCAGCTCAGAGCAGAGCTTGTCAGAGAACTAATGCTAGACCATGGCCAAATACATCTTTGAGTTGTCTGTCAGCCTATAAGAAAGTATCAGTGGTTATGGGAGCCTTGCCTTTTTATATAGTATGCAGTGCTGTTCTCCTGATCTTCATAGGAAGAAACTAAGCTAGGCTCCCTCCACACACTTTACTTCAAATGATAGTGTTACCAACAAGTAGACTTTGATATCAGAATTTCCCTAGATCCTTTTCAGCTACAAGACAAACCTGCTGATGACTCTGTTTCCATAAAGAATAGAGAATAAATCATGATGTGTCTTCATAACTACATCTCGTATAACTAGTTTTTCATACCATATTCTGGGTGGCAGTTTGCGTTGTTTCTTTGAAAACAATTCTACCAATTGGGTTTGTCCATCTGATATTTAAAAAAGACTCCTCTTTGAAATAAAGTGTAGAAAATGGATTGGCTTGATTGAACATTTAAGAATGAATGCGGTGAGTTTATTAAAAGTATTCTGGTTGTAGTCTAGTTCAGAGCCTTAGCACAAGAAGAGTAAGAACAGCAGTGGTTTCATTTCAGCTGCTATTACTAAATTTTATCATTAATTTTATTTTGAAGTGCTTTAACTCTTATACTTTGCACGTATAATACAGTTAGCTGAAATCTTAATTTCCTATCTGTTGTTTATTTTCATAGATAGGCTTTAAAGACAACTTTGTTTTTTAAAAACCTCTTCTGGTTCTTAATTTTGTGCCGTTTCAAGTAGGTTTAAGTAAAATAAAGGCACTAGCCTGATTTTCTTTTAAAGAGATTCTGTTTTTTTTTTCCTCCCCAGTTATTGGAATGTGGTGGGAACCTCTTTGATGCAATCTCTATCGCAGTGAAGGCAGCTCTCTTTAACACAAGGTAAAGCACAGATCTCATTTCACATGAGTGAAAGTGGCATGGGAAGTGAAAGAAAAGTACTAAAGAGCTAAGCATTTTTAATGCTTGATTATTTAAATAAGAAATACCCAAGGCAATTTGCATTCAGATACAAGGCAGTCTATTTGCATGGAAGTAACATGAACTACTGACTTTAATTCAGTTTCTGATAATCAAGTGTCATACTGCATTATATGCACAATCAGGCTCACAGTATAACTTTTGTTCTCTAGCCGGATCCAGAAAAAATTGTCTTGACCATATGGTTTTGTTGCACGTAGTTGCAGGCCTTTGTGTTGATGCCTTGTGGGTTTAAAATAAGAAGTATTTATTGATATGTGATGCTCCTGAATAAGAAGCCCTCTGTCAAGTTACTGATTTTTAACTAGCCCTGTTTTCCCACTTCTGATGTTCTTTCTCATTAACTGTTAGTCTACAGTTCTTTTTAAAACTAAGAGGAAAAAATGGTGTTGAGAGATTGTGGGGAGCGGGAAATGATGTGTCTTTAAAAGAACTTTGCCCCATGCATTTTAATTCAAAGAATGGGAGAACAAAATCTAGTAGAATGAATGATGCAAGTGCTCTGTGTGTGTTTTAATGATAACATTCAGTAATATTTTTTTTTCTAATGTTTTTATCTTCTTGATCTGTAGATGAAAGGGAATACAGAGTTTTGTAGCACCCTTGAGAAAGAAACTAGTGAATGGCTTTGCTAAAAAACTTATGTAGCAAAAGTAGCTGGAAGAGGTGCAAAAGTTAGACTCTTGCAGGCATAAATGTTCTGAAAGTGGATCTCAAACTGTTCTTCAGCTGTAAATTAGAGATCTGCTAAAGTCACTGGCATAGTTCTGGCTTACTCATCAGGGAATCAGTGCACAGTACTAGAGCTGGAAAAGTACGTGCAAGAAGAAGAGGAAAATGCACTTTTGAAGACAGGCAGTATATCAGGATATAAACACTTTAAAAGGGCATAAGGGAAGAATTCATCTAAGACTACAACTTGTATATATTGATGAGAGATTTCCCATGTTAATCAAGCTCTCAACAGTAACTTTTAACAGTAGATTGTTTTTATAGCATTAAGAAATATTGTCACAAATGTAATGGCTCACAAAAGAGTTGACAGTACACTAAAGGGAAGAAATGCCTATGTCTCTGTGGGTGAACTGCCAGGATGCAAAAGTTGTACAGTTCAAACAGTTGCTCCCATGTGAGTTGTTTCGCAGATCCAAGGCACATACTTTATTTGCAAGATAACTAGGTCTTTTTTTCTTATTTCATCTAGAATCCTAGTTCTGAATAAAGAGAGAAGATCATATAAAAAGTAATTAAAACAAATAAATAAAAGAAAATCTGTTGCTTTGGGAACATGGGCAACATGGAGAGTGTAATTGTTTTAATGATTCTGCTTTATTTTTCTTCTTCTGAAAACTGTCTTTCATATAATCTTTAATCTGTGGGCAAGCATCCACAGTCTTGTGGAAGTCAGATATCAAATCAAAATGTGGTACAGTGTGATGTAATGCAGAGCCTGCTGATTTTTGACCTGTGAAAACCCTGTCTATTGATTTGAGTAGGAAATGCTAGTACATGTAATCTCATACAAGCTCAGAAAGTCAAGAGGTGGCATTCAAAGTGAAAACCTGTTGTCCTCACTATTCCTCTTCCTTTCCTTTGGTACGTACTAAGTTTTCTTTGGATTGACACAAGGTTGTTTAGAGTAGCTGCTCTCTCTCCGTAAAATATTATTGTCCCAGCAAGACAAGATGTCAGTTTGAAGATCACTTCAGATTAAGTGTTCTGAACTTTGCTTGATATGTGTGTCCCTCCTTGAGTCTTACTTGCCTTTCATAATCTGCTTACAACCAGGTTTTTGTTATAAGTGTTTTTAGATCTTTGTCAGTCTTGACTGCAGCCTTGGAACCAAGAGCAGGGAGCTCAAGCTGCTGGGTTTTTTTGAAAGTACAAATTTTTAGATGTTCAGATAGACATTTGAAAACATCAGCTTCATCCTTAAAATCTTGCTCTAACCATTTTTATCATAGCTATGGGCACATTTTTCTTCAGGGCTAAATAAATGCAAAATCATAACTTAAGGAATTTTGTGCAAGAATTATGGGATTTAAATCTTTTGTATGTCTGACCTGACTCATCGTATCCCCTTCAGGCGTGAAACAATGACAGTGTGACTGTTTTAGGGGGAATGTTTACTCCTTGGAGTTTTGTGGTGTTCATTATGTTCTAAAAACTACATCAAGATCATGTGCAAAAGATAGCAGATATCAAACTTTCTTCTTAACTGTGTTCCAAGGTGCTTAAGGCTGGATTTATCCATGATCAAAGTAGATATTGCAAAATGTGCAAGTAGCTACTGTGTCAGGACTTAGCATTAAACTTGATCCTGTGGAATGTGCCTACTTGCAACCGAGGCAACAGAAACTAGACAAGTTACAAAAGCTACAGAGTTTATAACACAATAGCCTTGCAGATGTCGTGGGGTTTTGCCGGGCAGCATGGTAGAGGCAGAACTGATGCCTGCTTGCAAGGGTAGAACTGGTTTTGTAGTTGTGAAATCTGGCTCTGCAGCACACTGAAAAGAGCATTGTTTATTATGTGACTAAGTCCTGCTGTATAGATTGCTGCCCCGATTAGTTGCAGGAATCAAACCAGAAAAATAGAAGTTGCAAAGTGAACATGTACAGCTAGTTTGTAAGATAAATCTTCATAAGCTGGGAGAGGAAATCTCCAGTTTTCTGGAAATGCTCTTTGTGCTACACTCTCTTTGCCTAGTTTTCCTGTGTGTGTACCTCCTTTTTATGCAACTATGATGCTTGTGTTTGACCAACTATCTTTTTGCCTCTGCAATAGTTCTAATTTATACCTCTCTCATCTGTTCTTGGCCAAAACAGTTCTTTGCAGGGATTTTTCAGGTATTAATTCTGGCAACTTTTTCTTGCAGACCATTGCTCTGGCTTCATAGCTAATTTAGGATGGAGTTAAAAATCGCTTAATCTTGCAGATTTTCTTGAAATCTTCATTGTTTTTTAAGCACCGCTCTGGCACATACGCTTTTTGTCTAGGCTGTTGTCCAATGTTCTCCATTGTCCTGTGTAGCTAGAGGGTTAGTCACCTCATGACTTTATTCCATCACTTTTTAATGGAATATTTTTAGCTTGAAAACAGGCTTTGATGCATTTCCAATGAGTTGTTATATAACTCTGCAAAGCATTTTGAGTTTCATTTCAGGAAAAAGTACACATCGTAGTTGTTCTGCTTACTGAAAGTTTTAGTTTTAGCTTGGCTTGGGCCAGTGTTCTTGTAGGGAATTTGTTCTCACTGAAGCAGGGTTAGCTGTTGTGAAGTACTCACCTCTAGGACTTTTAGCCACAAATAACTAAAATACTCTTCCAGGGAACAACAAAAATCAGTTTGCATTGGTGGAAAGTTACTAAATCAGTCCCTATCTCCTCCTTTTTTAAGAGATTTGGTACGGAATGTGTAAAAGAATGTAACCTCGAGAGTCTAGTTATAAAACGCAACACTACTGTAAAAGTACTAATATAAAAACAGATTATGGTTACGTTCCACATGGTTACTGAAGTTAGCTTTCTAGGGACGTCTTGAAATATTTTATGTTTTCAAGTGCAAATGTGTATAAATGAGAGCAGTATGGTTGAGCTGTGCGTGGGTTTTACTGGCCGGTAAAGCAAAGTCTCTCAGTCACTACTCCATCCCAGCCCGCACCTGGATAAATGAGGGTATATAAGACACTGAGGTTCTTGGCTTCTTGAGGTACTGTCTTCAACTAAATTGTTTTAAATGATTTTATTAATTGTGCTAAGAAAGCTGCATTAAATCATCCTGTAAAACTCCCGCTAAATGGCTATAACAAATACAATATGTGTATCATTGATAAGGAGCCTGTCTGATCGTTTGTGAGAGAGCTTGTCACTCACAACTGAGAAGAAAGCATTCTTGGATTTCTGCCTGGGTTCTTATCCCTGGTGGTTGCTTTTGTATATCTGTCCTTAGAACAGTAGAGTCTTCTGGCTTCTTAAAGAATGAGAATATCTTGCCAATCTTCCCATCTTGCTAAAGACAAAAGGATTTTACTAAAGTAATCTTTTTCCCTTTATCCCAAATCTCCTTAGTGTCATTCTTTCCTGAACAGTTCTACTACTTGTATTTGCTACTGATGTCACAGTTTTGCCAAGCAATGCTATTGCTATAATTCTGACAACTTTACTGCTGTCTGCAACGTTGGGAACCACAGTACAAAAGGATTCAGTCTTTGTAATTTCTCTCATGTACGTCCAGACAGAAGTACAAAGAATTGTTCAGAATTGCATTGCGCGAGTTCCAAAGAATCTCTCCCCATATATTAGTGTAAAAAACAGTTCAGATTTTAACTGTTTGAATGATGTGAATATGATGGTCTCATCCTAAATATCTTCCCACTTTATGATGCTTTCTTCCTAGTCTCAGTGAGTGAGTTGTTAATACTTTGATAACTTTCTGGATTTTTTCCTAAATTTTTAGCCTCATTTAGAGGAAAGGGCACTTCTTGGAGTTGAGCCTGTATGACACCTGTATTCATGATGTGTTCTGGCAATGATTTTGCACATTTTGTTTTCACAGAATACCCAAAGTGCGTGTTCTGGAGGATGAAGAAGGCACTAAAGAGATTGAGCTGTCTGATGACCCTTATGATTGTATTCGACTCAACGTGGATGATGTGCCCTGCATCGTCACACTAAGCAAAGTAAGCCTGACAAATTTCTGACCTTCTACCTAGAGACTTCAGTTTCTATTAACTTTGCCTGCCATTTATTTTTTCCCTAGAGATAAAACTTGTGTTACAGAAATGGTCAGTGTCCACTATGTATATATTTGTTCATCCTTGGCCTCCTAATTAAGAAGAACTTTTACTGAATAAGGCTTTTTTTTCCATCTCTGACCTGCAGATTTCCACATGATGCATTCTTAAAAGGCATCTTCTTGCATGCAGAAGAGTTTTTATTATTTTTTATCTACTCCTTGCTCAACATCCAGAGCAGCAGATACTTCAGTATGTTAAAACAAATGGGTATTGTGAGGCACAGAGGTTGTGTGATCTGCTTGGAGTTACACACAAGTATTTGTTGCTGGGGACAGAACTCTGTTTTCATGGGTGCAATACTGTCCTTTCCTTTCAAACAGGTTTTTGTTTTCCCTTTCCATATATAGCCCACAACTAACACAGTTATCTGCTGGATGCTGCATTTTGCAATGCAAGAGTTAGTAGTTTGCTTAGTTACCTGAAAGTTTGTCTGACATATCTTTTAAGCAAGTTTCATAAATAGTAGAAAGGCTACCACTGAAGTGGGGGCTCACCTGTGTCACAGGATGTGTAATTTTCACCTGTCAGGAAGGAAAGTCCATGCTTCGAGTTGAGGAGAAAGGGGAATCTGGAGTCACATATAGATGAAAGGATGGTCCGAGAGGAAAACAGTGTGAAATTGTGACACGCTTATCTCACCTGTTATGTATGTACACATAATTTGGGGTCAGAGGCTGTATAAGTACTGTGCTGTCGAGTCGATCGCATGATACTAGGATGGGAGGCTGTAGGTAGCCGACAGAGCTACTACTCACAGTTTAACTTGTTAATAAAGAGCTTACACAACTGCAAACTGATACATTGTTTTGTCACTAACTTACAGATTGGATATAGGCATGTGGTGGATGCTACCCTTCAGGAAGAAGCCTGTTCTTTGGCCAGCCTGCTTATTTCTGTGACCAGTAAAGGTGCCCTCACTTCTATGAAGAAAGTGGGGAAAGGTAGCCTTGATCCTGAGAGTATTTTTGAAATGATGGAGGTAAGGAGTTCTGAGCAGTTACTGATGATACTGAATGATACTGGATGAACTGGAACTTGAGTACATGAAAAGCTGCAGTAAGGACTTTAAGAGCAGAGATCCTGGCGCTTTTTTTAGGTGCACAAGGGACTTGCTGAAGGTCACAGACAGTTCTTTTGAAACAGAATCTAATATGAATGGAGGTTATCTAAAACTTTTAGATGCCTGAAATGTATGGTACTCGGAGTTGTTTCACTCAAGCACCTCACAGCTGTAAGACTGTAAAGCTTAAGTTGATAAACTTTGAGAGTATTTTAGAGGACATGTTCCCTCTCTCATTGTTTCCCTCAAAGACTGGAAGAGCAAAACTTCTAACATGGTAAAGTCCCTATAGAAGTAGAGATGGTACTTTGAGTTCGTGTAGTGCATGGTGTTCTCTTTTAGCACAACTCATTTGTTTTGTGATAAGCTTAGTGTTCTCATTTTCCTGTTGTTTTTCTTTGCTCCTTTATTGCGTTTCTGATCTGCCTCTACTCCATGAAAATACTAGTATCTGGATGTTGTTCACATCTACATTAGAATTTCATTTTAAACGTTTCTTCAGGCTCTTCTTAAAACTGTCTTCCAGTATAAATTCTCATGCCTGGGTTTGGCCTTGAGCATGAGACAGAACTGGGTTTTGAACTTGGAGTCAGAATGAAAACTAAATACTTCAAACTGGCTCTGTTTCCTAGAGATCCAGAACTAATTTCAGCACGGCTGTAGCAAGGAATGCAGAACTTGGAGCCAAGTTTGAAAGCATTTGGTCTCAAGTGGAAATTACATGCTGAGCATATATGGCACTTCACTGTTTCATGATGTTGATCCAGAGTACTAATCTTGGTGGTACTGGTGGGCTTTTTATTTGCTTCCAGAGAGGTCACTTATCCCCCTTATCATCTGCATAGATGTGCAGAGGGGGATTATCCTAACTTGGCATCCTAAAGAAACCAAACTTCCTATGGACATCTGATGTGTCTTCCTTGATGGATTTAGAGTCCAATTCTAACTAAATATCATAGAAGACTTGAGATTTTGGATCTCGGGCTGCTACAAAGAGATGGGTGCTTAAGTTACATACAGGTTCATGGTAGGAGCTGGCCCATATGCAAATTATCTGCAGAAAGCTTTGATTGGAGCCTCTATTTTGATCACAGATTTCACTCTACACTGAGTCCTACACTGAACTTCTGCAGTTCCACCCCCAAAGGTTGTGCTTGGGATTATATAATGCTCATCTAAACACTAATCAGAGATCCATATGGAAGGTAGCCATGGAAAAATCTTCAAACCATCCTACTCTGCGTAAGAGCTTTACTTGTTGGTGTCCCTACTTGTTGGTGCAAGGAGTTAGAAACTTAAGCTGATCACCCAGTGAGTTGCACTCTCTCTCACTTGCTTTGGAAGAAGTCTTCCCTCCTGGGTGGTGAGCAGTTTGAAGGAGTGAGGGATAAAGCTGCTGAGAAGAAACCAAGATGTTTTCTGGGAGGTCAGAGACTATCTGCTTGGCCCTGCCTCAAACTCAGCAGCCTGATCAGGATACCAAGAAAAATAAAAAGGCCTGGGAATGTCCAGTGGAGGAGCTGCATAACCCTTGCTTGACACCTCCGTTCCCTAATGATTTGGCTGCAGGTCAGAGAGTGTTCAGCTTTCCCTGCCTGGTAGGCAACAGATGTTCCTAGGACATACCTCTTAGGAAGGCAGCTTCATGGGAAAGTTTCGGGAAGCTGCCAGCATTAGGCTTTTTTTACTGAGTTTATGATCTGATCCATAAGAGAGGCAAGCAGGGATAAGATGGCAACAGTATTGTGTGTTGTGTCAATACCAAAGCTCTGCACAGTTCCCATTCACTTTGACCTGGTGTGAGTGACGTTGTCCTGTTTGAGGAGAAGAATGCACAAAGTATATCACCCCTCAGGACTCCAGACTGCTGCTGTGATCTTTGTCCCAGTGCAGAGCTGTAACAATTCTTGTGTGTGCCCCATTTTATTTATCGTGATTCATAGTGTCTAGGATTGACAGCTACCCTGCTGCATCAAAGCTCTTTCCAAATTTACTTTGGTGCTATGGGCCATATTCTGTCATCTGGTTCTTCAGTTAGAAATGTACCTTATTTTAAGGTTTGTGTACCCACGGTGTCGGCAGTTGTCATCAACAGGTGAAAGAGAGCTTTGTGGTCAGTTGTGTGGCAGGCATAGGCTTTGTTGCATAGATCAGGAGCTAATAAACTCAGCTTAATAAAAATCTCTCTTTGGCTCTCTAGGGACAGGTAGGCTCTTTTCATCTCCGTATGGAGTCAGTATTTCAGGTTATTTAGAGAAACCGTGGCAAAGCTCTAATAGGCACCACTGCCTTAAGACCTTTATTTCAGCATTGCCCACCATTTCCCTGTCCTTCAGCTTCCACAGTGCAGTTGTGTATGTGGGAAGAGTAGAGGCTGGTATTGGAGCTAATCCTGGTGGGTTTCTGCTGCTGGAGTTTATTTCTGTAAAGAAAACCTTCTGTTAACTCCTTTAAGGTACTTGGACAGTACAGAGTTGCACATCATAATGAAGGATCTGCCCACAGACTGATTTGGTGGTGCAGCAGGTGTGCATTTGGGGCTTCTCTGGCCACGTGGCAGGGTGTTGAGCTGGTCTAAATTCAGTCTGCTGATTCTGAGCACATTCAGAAGAGTTTATGGAACTTTGTATTAGTAGGCTGCTTTGCTGGTCAGGTATCTCTTGTCCTCTGGCAGCTAGTGTATTGCTTCATATTGCGTGTGCTGGCTAATTTGAATGTGTGCTTGTGCCTGATATCAATTTAATTTGTATTCCTGGGCGATCCAGCGGTGCACAGATCTGGTGTTAATGATCATGGAATGCTTCTCTGATGAATGGGAGCACTGCCTTTATGTGTACATTCTCCAAAACTTAATCAAATTAAAATGAAACTTCCACCACCACTATTTTTCTTAATTAAAAGCATGTTTTTATTATACCAGCTGGTGTATATTAATCATCAAAGGGAAAATATTTGTCAAAAGGAAGTGTTCCATGAGAGTTTTCTTCCTATTAATAAGCATATGTCTCATATTTGTTTTGCTTTCTTTGCATTGCAGACGGGAAAAAGAGTAGGCAAGTCATTGCACATAGCCCTTCAGAAGATTTTGGATGAAGAAGAGAGTTTGGGGACCTCACGGCAGAAAGTTGGATTTCTAGGATGAGTTTTTATTAAATGTTCAAAACTGTTTTTAATTGATTGTGCAGTCTTGTCCGTTTGTATATAGAAAAAGGATACTTTTTGTTCCCATACCTTTATCCTTCTGGCTAAGAGGCTTTTAAAATGTTACTAAGCATGAAGCTAGCTGGAGTTAAATGCAAATAAGCAAATTTGAGATGCTTCCCATATGGGTAACTGTCCACACCTAGGAAGCGCACCAGCAGCAATTGATGCAATTGCCTGGGAAGTGCTTGAGACTGTTTTCAAGAGTGACTGGTGTATATCCCACTGAATTCTGTTTGCGTGTGTTCCGCTTCTGCAGACCAGCTGCTGTGTTCTGGAGCATATATGAGGCTGTCTTCAGTGCAGCACAAGCCAGGTTTTGGGCGTCTTGAAAATTTCTTTTTTTTTTTCCATTCACCAGCCAGATGAGAACAGCACTTTGTGGAATTCTTCCTTCAAATTATCTTACTTTCCTTTGAATAAAATGTGGTTAGATTTTGCTATTAATACAACATGGTCCAAAGTTTCTAATTCGTATTTTATACCAAGCTTTCTTTGCTTACTAGAGCTCTGCCTATCCCTTTTGCAAACAGGTACGATAGTAACCTAGCCAAAACCTCTCACAGTGGCTAAGGAGAAGGGGTGTTGCTAAGGTAGGAGGGAAAATAAATTAATTTTTTAGGAGGCGGGTAATTCAGCTGGAAAAGCATAGTGGCTGTCAGTAATGGTCCTTTACAGGGAAGGACGGAAGATGGCAGATAAGGTATGCAATCATGTTGTACCACCAGGTCTTCAAAGCAGTGGATTCCCTCCCTACATCAATTGGCTGGCCCAGCAAAGAGTAAGAGCTGTTTATTTGGCAGGATAGGAAGAGACAACAGATGGAAGAAGTCAAAGGAAAAAGTTTATTTTCAAGACGTTGATATTTCAGCTGCAAGTGTTAGAAGGATCGTCTTGAACAAACATTATGGCAAGAGTTACTACAGTAATCCAAGAATCATTTAGTTCTTACTCAAGCAGTGTTTTCTGAATTTCCTGTTTTAATTTCCTAATATCAGATTAAGAACATTCTCTTGTTTGGAACATGTTTGGTAGGGAGAAGGGGAAGGTTTTTGCTGAAGGAGAGCTGTAGATAAAGGACAAAACATACTATAGCTCAAATTAATAATTGTGATCACATTAAAATATATGGTGTACTTAAGGTCCCCCAATCTCTTCAGCCCTTTTCCTAGAGCTCACTTGCATAATTATTTAAGGTGACTGCAATACTACTGTGTATTTCAGATACGTGTAGCCACTACTATAATGAGCAGGCAGGTTAAAAAAAAAAAGTTGTCCCAAGATACCCATTTTGAAGAGGTGGGATTTTTTTCAGTACCTTAAGTGATGGGTTAGGTATGTTATGATAGTGCTATGTAGTAATACAGGCAAGAAGTGACAATGATTATTTTTTTATATATATATATATACACACACACACACACATATATATACATCATCTTTAATCACTCCAGTAGGGTTATTCTACGTGAAGCAAAGACTAACCTGATATCATCTTTACAGTAGCTGTGATCCATTCCTCGCCACGCAAAGCTACTTGTAAGAATGTAGAAAGAAATAAAACTGATGGGAGAAAAAACATTTACAGTACCTTAGACTTACCACAGGCAGTTTTTGTTTGGTCATGTATTGTTTAATGTTTCAGAAGATGGTTAATCTAAATGAGGATTGCAAGTCTTAAACCACAGCCATTCTCTGAATAGCTCTTGCTTGTTTTATTACAGATTTGTAGTTGGATACCAAAAGGCTGCCCAGAGTTACTTCCAGGGTGAATTTTGTAACATGTAATAACAGTGTATTTCTACATAGCCTTCCAGCTGAAGGATCTCCAAGCATTTTGCAAGTTACATCACTTAAGATGCTTCTTGTCCCCTTTCCAGATCCTTTTAACTTTAAATTGATTGTTCTGAGGGCTGGGGTGAAGGGGGAGGGGAGAAACCTCACTGTGTTTCAAGCATGTTAACTGACACCTCTGTGGAGATGAATATATTTGTATTCCTGCTCCACTTCTTGCTAAGGATGGCAAATACTTGGCAAGAGGTCAAAGCCCATCTGAGATATAGGCTATATGCCTAAGATACCTAAAAAGCAAACTCTTGCTACCTGGGCATCTGTGTCTGCTGCTAGCCCAGGGAAACCTGTGGAGCAGCTGTGTATACAAAAATGGCTACCCCAGTCACAAAATATTTGGTACCAAGCACTTCCTGAGTGTGTAAGTGTAAATTAACATGGTGCAAGTTTCTGCAGTGCCTTCTCTAACCGTGCATGTCCTCCCCTCAGGGCTTCTGTAGCTGTGTGTAAGCAGGCACAGAATGAATTGGGGGTCTTCAAGGGGTCCTGTTCCTTCCACGCTCGCTACCTTCCATCTGTTGGCATTGAAAAGCAGCGGGGTGGAGTGTGGCCCCAGTTCAGACTGGGGCTGCTTCTACCGCTGAGATACAAATAATGAGCCTGGCCAAAAAGCATTGCACAGCTGCTAGTTGGTCTCAGCTGCCCCTGGAGGTTTGCTGCTACCAATTCATATCCCAAATGGATAAACAAAGCTCTGACAAGGGTAAAAGGGCCTACAGCTCTCCCAGTTGATACAACATCTGCCAAGAAATCTTTGAGACTGTGGTTCTCAGGCATGCTAAGGGCTGTGCTGCCCATTTCTATTTTCTTAGCTCTCTTTAACCCCTCCCTTCCATCCCAAACAAAAATAGCAGTTAGATTTTTAATAGAGGCTTCAACTGAGACTGCTCCTGTTCCCATCTGGGCTGGTGGAAAGTTCCATGTGTTGCTGTGCAGATATTGCCACGTTTTCATTGACTCGAGTCCAGTAGACCTAAGAGGAAACATCTGCGGAGCGGGATAGCTCTCTGTTTGTCCCAGAAATTAATTGCTTCTGCTGGGAGTGTCGAGAGGCTGAAAGCTGTGTACTAGAGATGAGGAGTCTAGCAACTCCTGCTAGGCTTCTACTTGTGTTGCATAAAATGCACCCAGCTGCAATTTACCTTTCCTCCCCCCGCCATGTATCCCCGCCTAAAGGTACGCTTGACAGGGACAGTCCCTTGAAGTGGGAGAGGGCAAGGCTGTATAGGTCAGTGGACTTGGCTGGTTTGCTTCTCGTGTTCCTCCAGATCTGTGTTTAAGCTCAGGGTGATGCACAGCGGATTTACCAAGCCCAGGAATCCCATCAGCCAATGTTTTGCAGCTACAGTAATGGTTCAACGTTGTAATTGTGTAGTTTGGGGAGGAGAGGGGAGCTTGTTCTGCCCGGGGGGCAGGAGTTGAGGCAGTTGGGGAGGAGAGGGGCAAACTTGCTTCAGCACAGCCTGTTGTAAAGACAAGTTAGTGGGAGCCAGAGCTCGCTCGTGGCTCCCGTGAGACTGGAGTGCACAAGTCTCTCTTTGAGGGACTCAGCACCTTGATTTGACATAGATAATATCCCACGGAGTTTCTGCATTTTCTCTGTAAAAAGGAATTAACTGGGATTTACCACCTCCTCCTAGGACTGTCTCCAACTTTTCTTTTAAACTTCAGCAGATGCCACGGCCCTCCTCAGCAGAGGGATGCTCTCCAGCCCTGCTCTGGCACTGGTTTACTTTGGCAGTAGCAAGCAGCCATGGAGCCCTAGAGCAAGGGGAAGAAGTCAGCGTGACTCGGTAAGACCTGAGAGGAGAGCGCTCCAGTCCTTACCCCCAGAGCCTTGTTCCCTCCTTTCCTTTAACGCTCTTAAGCAAGGCGCAGGAGCAGGCCCGCGGCTGGGACTGAAGCTCTTCCGCCGTCAGCCTCCGTGCTGTTGTTCCTCCCTCCTCCCCAGCCCCTCGTCTCCTAGTACGCTCCTGCCTGTTTGCGCTCCCCGCCGATGCGAGGCACCTGTTCCGTCTAAGGCAAAACATGGGTGCTCCTGGTAGCTGTGCCTCGCAGAGGCAGCTGTCACCTGCCTGCTCCCTCCTGTCAGGGAGGCAGCTGCCAGCGGCTGGTTTCAGGCTGGCACTTTAAAATGCCTGGTCCCTCGCTCCTTTTCCTTTGGTAAAGCCCCGGACGCCCAGTCATAGTGCTTGGCCACAGCAGGGCACTTTGGTACCCATTTCCCCACAGAGAGATGGCGATGCCCTAATTTTCCTTGGATCGGCTGCATTTCTAGCTATCCAGTAACAAAGACCTTTTTGCTCTTCCTGCAAAACAACGTTAGAATCTCAGACGTGCTGCTGTTAATGACTCCCTGGTGATGGTTTCAACTTCAATTTCATCAACTGGAATACTTTTTAAAAAGGCCGTGGTTATCTTTTGAGCTCTGTGAACATCTCTGTTGCTATCCTGTTCTCAAGATTAGGGTGGGATCAGCAGCACAGGCACCCCTGAGTTTTCACCTCACGCCATTTGTAGGTCAGAATTGATCTGCCTGATTTAGACCGAGAAAATCATAGTTACTGCAGCCCCTTAGCTAATACCTTTGGAGGGGAAAAAGGAAATGAAATCTCAGCCGCCTTCCAACGTATAGAGGCCCTCTTCCACCCAGCTGGCATGGCAGGGACCGCAGCCGAGCCAGTTGTGCCTGTGCGTTGGAGGTAGTTGGAGCCACCAGCCTGCAGGCCCTCCCTTCCGCAGGAGCTCTCTCACCACGTGTTTTTGATGTGTTTTGGCAAACGGTAAGTTTTGGTATTTCCAGGGTTGGAAACCTATGGGTTGAAAAGTCATGATTTAAGTCCTACTTCTTTCCTTCCCCCCGAGAGAGAGACCAGCTTTAATCTGATGAGGCTTTTCAAGTTGTCCTGGTTTCGGCTGGGATAGAGTTAATTTTCTTCCTAATAGCAGGCATAGTGCTGTGTTTTGGATTTAGGAGGAGAAGAATGTTGATAACACGCTTATGTTTTTTAGTTGTTGCTAAGTACTGCTTGTGCTAGTCAAGGAC